AAAAAAGAACTAATGTTACAGCCAGACATTCTCAACGGTTCCTTCCTATTCACAGCTGACAAACACGTCCCCCGTTCCCCTGCCTCTTTTCCCCCTACAGACTTACCAGCCAGATGCTGCTCTCCAAGCTGCCTGGCTGTGCGCATGCATGCAACATTTATCAGTGACATTATTAGCAACATCAGCCAAAAATAGCCAATTGCCAATAATGTAAATTTTGCTTTTATTGGTGCCGATATGAACCAATGTACTACTGCACTTCTAGTTCTGAGGACTGTTCACTGAAAAGTCCTTCTTTCAAGACCTGATATCTAACCTTAAAATGTACCAACACAAGTGACTCATCTGGGGAGACACATAATTTCAGAGAGTTAGGATTCAGACGGTCTAGGATCCTATAGATAAACTCTTCTAATAATATGTTTTAGTGAACAGGAAGTCTTTAAACTCTATTGAATATTGAAGTATTGTAATGTATTTCCATCATTAGGCAACCCTATTTTGCACTAGCTGCAACTTCAGAAGCAGCTTCATAGAAAGCCTGTAACAGGAATCCCAGTCTGGAGACAATGTCAAGACTCACAGTCATTATGTCAAGCACTGGTGGTAAAAGGCACTTAGGCCAGTAAAACCATCTGAGACTTTATTATCAAAGCAGAACAGAGACCAGTGCAAAGATAGAATCAGCATAATAAAAGTATTGCCTCTTATACATCTTCATTAACTCCTCTGTGTAGTATTAATTTTGGTGCTGTGAAGGGTTTTGCATTTAAATGGGTGCATCTACACAAGACGTTTACTGTGGAGCTGCCTAATTAACTGCACAGTAAACTTCTCACCATCTACACTATTAGGGCACACAAAATGAATAAACTCGGCAGCAAGGTAAGACTTATAAATACCCCACTGCAGAGTTTTCTCATGCACAGCAGTGCATGTGTAGATGCTGATTGGATGGCTGGGGTATGAGGGTGCTTCAGTGCCAGAGCTGCCTTCTGGCTAGCCCAAAAATGAAGTACTCTTGTGCCCCAGCCAACCCTTCCACAGCACATTAAGCCTGCTGTGACCCAGCTCAATGTGTTGTGCTCCGGGCACAAGTGCAGATGCACGCCTGGGAGCTTCCCAGGAGAAATAAACTGCAGAACAATAAGCTCCACAGTTTATTGCTGCCCCTTAATGGCACATGTAGATGCACTCAAGTAGTGACATAAAAATAAAACAACTACATTAATTATGTAGACATTGAATGGAACAGAAAGCAGAACCCTGTAGACCTTTGCATGACAAGGTAGGAATATGCCCACTATGGCTAGGTACAGACATTCAAAAAGCCCAAGGTGGAATCAATCTAAATTACATGGTTTTCTATAAGCACTGTAGTTTAGATCAGTAGCAAATACAACACATATTTTACCCTTTGATGGGGAGAGCAAATTTTAGACCAGGTTCTGACATTTTTAAACCAGTCCATGTGTGCCAAACTTCTGTTACAAGTATAGACCAGTTTTGTGTGCCAAACTTCTGTTCAGTTAGGGGTATAGACTGGTTTCTGATCACTTATACCAGTAAAAGTGTAATGTCTGTACCCAACCTATGTGCTCCACTGGCAGTTCAGAAGGTATGTCCATATAGCAGTCACTGCAGTGAATGAAGTTTGTATAGAAAACCCCAAGCCAGCTTTCAAGGAACAAGCTGGGTAACTGCCAGCAATGTAGCTGTGACAGCACAGAGCTCAGTCTGGGCTCCAAAATTCACCCAAGAAGTGAATGCTAAGGCAAGTAGAATAAGGTGGGTTCTGGGCTGCCACAGGCTGCTCTGCTGTCAGAACTGAGTTTAAAACTAGTTCAGATTTGGAGTTTTATGTGTCAGTTACACAAGCAAATCTAGGGGCTTAATCCATGAACAGATTATGATGCTGACAGCTTCATTATCTTGACATTAAGCCTTTTTAAAGATGTTCTCAAAAGGAATTGGAAAGAGGAAACTTACCAGACACAGATGAGGTCAGGAAAGTGAGACTGGCCTGTTTCCCTTTCTGTTTAGTCAGTAAACATGCTAAGTTATGCCAGTTTAATCCCCCAAGTAAATCAGATTTCATTGTAAATGACAGCGAAACTTGGCTTTTCTGTCTGGCTACTCTTCACTATCACAGATATAATGTGATAAGTGAATGATTAGATAGGTGATGACAATTACATTTGATTTTTACTGTTTTTTCTATTTTAATAATTTATTGTTAGTGTCACAGGATTTTTTTTTAAGTACATGGGCTGGCATTTAAAAATCTAGGACCTGTAACTTTGGGGGCATTGTATTTTGGGTGCTTAGCTTGAACCACGGGGCCCTGAGATTCAGAGATGCTAAGCAATCACAACTCTAAATGTTCAACACCCCTGAAAATTGTCTTGAAGAGGATGCCCAGAAACTGAAGTACCCAAATTATGTCCCAAACTTCTCTGGAGATGTTTGCAGGAGGACATCTGAGCTTATGTAGTTCCTGCTGACATGAGGGTCCCTGGTGAGCCCTTTTTGTGAATAAGGGCCATAGCTGCACGTCTCCTTACAAGATTGGGAATTCAATTTCTTTTGAAAATCTGGCCTTGACAGTGTCCCTTTAAGGTAAGGAATCTCAAACACCTATTATGGGCTCAGCCTACAAACCCTGCTGCATGTGAGTAACCCTGTTAAAATCAAATGGACTGCTTGAATGTGGGATGTTAAGCCTGTGCAGGTTTGTAGGATCAGGCCTATAGCTACAGTTTATAAAAGAAAATACAACATACCACATTGTTTGTTATCGAGGGTTATAGTTTAATTGTTTAAATTTGTCAGTATAGTGCCTCTGAACATTATATTTGGTAATGCTTGTAACAGGAAATGATACATCTGATTTAGAAAGGGGCCTTTTCGTGACCTCAAAAATATTCCGTGTCTCATCAATTACCTGGTAGTATTTTCTCACTGATCTCTATATCTGATTTCCTGTATATATACATATGTATAATCAGATTAACATTTCTATGACGATTTTACAGATAGCTTATCATGAGAAATATGTAGGTTTTCTCATTTTAATAATCTATAGCAAGTGGGAAATTCAAGATATACTTATAGTCCCAGTGATAATCTAATTATGTATAAACACTTACCTTGGGTTTGAATGCAATGACTTTCAAAACCATTTCAACGGTGAATACTCCCGTGAAAACCATATTCAAAATATCCATTGCATCATTAAAAAGCTTTGACTGTTCGTAGTGCTGTGAATAAAAATTAAAGTACGAAAGAATATTATGTGAAAACAGGCTGATATGGATCAATAGTTGGCATTTATAAAGTCCAGCAAAATGTATGTCCAATTAATAGCTCTGCTAAGAATTCTTCAGTGGAAGAATGTATTACTAATACAAAAAGGATTGGATGGCTTTTGTTTACAACTGAGTTCAACTCAAATGTAAATGCTTACCACTGCATACCTCGAACAGTCCCTGAGAGACAGATTCAGAAAGAAAACTGGTCTTTCAAATGATCAGTAAAAATAAGAGTGGACAGGACAAAGCTAGATAAGCAACAGCCATTTAGCATGCCTGATACAACTGTGTGACATACCACTAATATATCTATTTAGAACAGCTGATAGATTGTATTAAGACTAGAAGGGAAGGCATTCTAAAGCAGTGGGGGGCCAAACCTCTGGGCAGGCATGTCACAAATTAGCCCTGCATTCTCTGAAACTGCCACTCCCTTTCCCCTGCCTGACCTACTGCTCTGCTTTCTGTCCTATCTGCTGCTGTGCTGCCTTTCCTCTCCCTGATTCACTGCATTTTACACACAGAGGCTGTTCGTGCTACTTGTGGCACCTGTGCTGCAGGTTGGCCATCCCCGTTCTAAAAGATTTAGACAGCTTATACAATTTAAATTAAAAAAAGCAAAAAACATACATAATCACATGTAGGCCATGTACAAGCATTTTGGTTTGTCTGGGAGAATTGCTGCTCTCCTGGTAGAAACCATGGGTGCTTGCAAACATGAAAAATAAAAATAAAACAGTGCTGTACTTTCAGCTTGGCATGCCCCTGTGTTGAGCACAGCACATGCCCAGAAAAAGAACTGCCAACTTGACCCAGGTCACTTGAATCAGCTATTAGATAAAAGTGCCAAAAAGCCCTGTTGAAGTGTACAAGCTGTACAGATGCTGGGCAAGCCAGCTCAAACTGATGCAATTTTTCTTCCCGTAAAGCACTGTTTCTTTTTTCTTATGTTTGTTGAAACCCCATGAGCATACAAGCGTTGAGTCATTTTTTCCTGGGAGGGTGGGAAACATGCTTCTTCCACATGAAAGGTCTTCTAGGGCTAGGGACAGACATTCAAAAAGCCTAAGCTTTTGAATTCATTCAATCTTTGCAGGTAAATCTAACCTGCCTAGGCTGAATCAGTTTGTAACTGCACAGACATCCCCTCTGGACTGAAAAAATGCAGGCACATGCCTGTAGAGGCTCATGCTGGAAGCCAGAGGGGCGCTAGAGTAGCCCTCCCTTCCCTTTCACAGTGCTGAGCTGAGGGGGAAGTGTCCAGACCCTGGCAGGATGCTCTGATTAGGGAGGGATCTCCCACCTCACTGGTCAGTGAGGGAGCCAGTGGGAATTTACACAGCATTTAGTTACATAGCAGGGAGCATTTATTAGCCCATCAGCAAAAAAAAAAGATCTCTCATTAGTTCAAGCTCTTCTTAAACAACTTGTTCCAAAGAAGGAATGGAGGAAATTACCAGCTACCTGTTGATTAGCTCCCAAAAGCCCCAAACAGTACTGTCCTGCCTGGCTGTGTCCTGTCTCCCACACGGACCATAACCAGCATGTGATACCCTAGCTAATGCTGAGAATTGCCTGTGTAAGGCAGAGGGGAGGAGGGAATCCCAGCTTCAGCAGGGCGTGGTGAGGGGGAAAGGGGGGAGCTGGAAGAAGCTAGGCAGACACTGTGTGCCTGCAAGTCGCTGCCAGAGCCACAGCCAGAGAGCAGAGGGGAAGGACCAGCTCAGCCCTCTGGAGCAGAGAGCACTGCCCAGCCCAGAGACCATGCTGGGATGCTGGGGGGGACTCTGATTTAACTTAAACCAGGAAGGGGACTGAAACAGACATTGCATAAACTCGTTTGACCCAAATCAGTTAAGTCTGATATTACATTCAACCAGGTTTACCTCAAACCAATTTCAGCCATTTTGAAACTTGTTTATGTGCACTGAACTTCTGTTCTGTTACAGGTTTAAACCAGTTTTTGATCACTTAAACCAGTTTGTGTGTAATGTCAGTCCCTAGCCTGGGTGTCAACCTGGAAGATCTCACTTGCAATAGAAACTCTCTTGCAAGAGTAAAAGCTTGTACACTCTCATTAACTGGACTTCAATAATTCTTTCCATTTTGAAAATCTATTGTGTTGGTGAAGGAGAGTGAAAGAGTTGGGAAAGGAAGTAGAGAAAGAGGCAACTGCTGTAAAGTACAGGATGCTTAGAGAATAGTAAAATGCAGGAAAAAGCAAAGGGAAGGACTGAGTCAAAATAAACATGGAAAGAAAATGTATTCCAGTAACAGCCTTTCTTGATAGTTACATAAAAGAGGGACAGCCTAAAGAAGGACAGTATGATACATTAGGAAGCACAGGATCAAAGCAGATTGACCAAATTACTTGATGTGACATACAAGAGAAGCAGTGAAAGATTAAGTGAATATAAATGCACAGCAAATGTGTCAAGATAGCATCACTTTCTCACTGATGATCAGAGTAGGATGCCTTCCTGTGCCATTTCAGATTCCAAAACACTTTCAAGTGAGATTCCACACATAATATTTTCTTTTCCCCTATTTCATTCAGAATCAACATATTGATCATTGTTTACAGCTCTTCCCTTGCCCTGAGGATTAGCAGTTTTCATACATAAGCTCAAAGAGTCTGAAATAAAAATACTTTTATTAGTGCACTAAGAATGCCTGTACTTCCCAGACCAGTCCTTGTATTAACAAAAATCTTTATTGCTAAAACATCAAAAAGAGAATGACAGAAGCTGAAATAAGAATAAAAATGATGGCACAGTATACATATGAAATCAATACAGAACAGCTTTAAGAACAAAGAGGAGTTGAAATAATGCCTGCATGCATTTGGCAGGAAAACAGAAACTCAGAAAAACATATAGCTAGCTAGACCAAACATTTATAAATAGTTTCCTATGTTCTTTCTAAATTGTATTGTGGATGAATGATTTTGGGAATGACCAAATGTTAAATAAATTAAAGTGTATTGCAGGTAGAAATTACCATACATGGAGCTCAGTTTGGACACAAATTACCACAGAGAGGACAGATGGACACTTATATTTGGGATTCAGACACTCCACTGAGTGTTTTAAAATATTAACCGATAAAAATGTAATTAACAGTAACTATCATTATTTGGACCTATGACTAGCACCAATTAATTAGAATACATAATTACAAATTATTATTGTTGTTATTCCTAATGTATTAATTGTAAGACAATTCTCACAATACTCTGTAAGATAAAGTGTTACCGTACCCATTTCACAAAGGAGGAGCTTCAGTACAGCGTTGACCTGACTTCTCAAAAGTTAAGTCTGTGAAACAGAAATTAGTTCTCCAGACTCTCCTCCCAATCTTACGCTTTAACCTGTAACTACACCTCCTCTCCTATCCACTGTTCATTTAAGAGTTACTTAACATCTTTCTGTCTCACAGGTAGAGGAAGGAAGTTTGTATAAATAATACAATTGTGAAAAACACTTGTAACACCAAACAAAATACATGCCCTGTATGTTTAAGGCAATCCTATGTTTTCTGTCTCACCCTGGCTACAGTATAACTCAGAACAACATAGAATCATAGAAAGTCCAACCTCTTGTTCAAAGCAGGACCATTCCCAACTAGATCATCCCGGCCAAACCTTTGTCTAGCCAGGTTTTGAAAACATGCAAGGATGAAGCTCCTACCACCTCTCTGGGTAACCTGTTTTAGTGTTTTGCTACCCTCTTAGTGAGAAAGCTCTTCCTAATATCTAACTTAAACTTCCCCTGCTGCAACTTGAGACCATTGCTCCTTGTTCTGTCATCTGCCATCACTGAGAACAGTTTAGATCCATCCTCTTTGGAACCATCCTTCAGGTAGTGAAGGCTGCTGTTAAATCCCCTCCCAGTCTTCTCTTCTCTAGACTAAATAAGCCCAGTTCCTTCAGTCTTTTCTCATAAGTCATGTCTCCCAGCCCCTTCCCATTTTTGTTGCCCTCTGCTGGACTCTCTCCAATTTGTCCACATCCTTTCTGTACTGCGGGGCCTAAAACTGAACACAATACTCCAGATATGGCCTCACCAGTGCTGAATAAAGGGGAAGAATCACTTCCCTTGACCTACTGGCAACACACCTACTAAAGCAGCCCAGTATGCCATTAGCCCTCTTGGCAACAAGGGCACACTGCTAGCTCATATTCAGCTTTTTGTCTACTGTACCGCCAGGCCCTTTTCTGCACAGCTGGTGCTCAGCCAGTCAGTCCTCAGCCTGTCCTGGTACATGGGATTGTTACATCCTAAGTGCAGTATTTATCACTTGTTCTTATTGAACCTCATGAGATATCTTTGGGCCCAGTCCTCCAATTTGTCTAGGTCACTTTGAATCCTAGCCCCACACTCCAGCATATCTACTACTCCCCACTGCTTGGTGTCATCTGCAAACTTGCTGAGGGTGCGCTCTATGCCATCCTCCAGGTCATTCATGAAGACATTGAACAAAACTGGCCTCATGACCAACCCCTGGGGCACTCCACTTGATACCGGCTGCCAACTAGACATTGAGCCATTGATTACTACTTTCTAAGCTCAATGCTCCAGCCACTTTTCTGTTCACCTTACAGTCCATTCATCTAGCCCACACTTCTTTAGTTTGCCTCTGAGAATGCTGTGGGACAGTGTTTCCCAACCTTTTGCAGCCCAAGGCTCACTTACATTAATAAAAATTTTCCGCGGCACACCTGTTAAGGCATTTTTCATCCTCATACCTACTATAGGTCATTGCCATGGCAAAATTCTGCAGCCCGCCTGTTCATTTCTGATGGCACACTTTTGTGCCACAGCAGACAGGTTGGGAAACACTGCTGTGGGAGACTGTATCAAAATCCTTGCTAAGATCAAGATATGCCACATCCACTGGTTTCCCCATGTCCAGAGCCAGTCACCTTGTCACAGAAGGCAATCAGGTTG